CTAAGGGATGTCCCTTAGTTGTCCACAACAGGCCTCATGGCTGCAGGCCACGAGCCGAAGGGGAAAAATAGAGTGGTGTCTTGTACTGTACGGGTACTGTACGGATACCGTACAGAGTGGCTGGCACCACTGCTATGACAACTACAAGTTCGGGTCCCCAAATTTTGAACAGATCAACAGTCACCTTTGGAATATAATCTTAAAATTACTCGATTATGGCCGTCTCAGGTGCAATAGAAAGGTTAGAGTGGAGGGAATCTGTTTACAGATTCCCTCTCATCTCAATCAAAACAGGTGCGACAGGGTCCGTCCATTGGTTCCTCATTGCATGCCATCCAAATTGGTCTCCAATAGAACCCAAAACTTGAACACAAAATTTATTGGCTGATGCAAATAAAGCATCCAAAAATATTCCCAAATTGACTGTCTGAGATTGAATCTCGGGTGCTTTGCATGTTTGCCAACTTGGCAGAGCGTTCCTTCATCGCAGCAGTTCGCTCCTTGGCAATTTGACGACGAACCGCTAACGGCTTTGGAGCTCTATCGCAGACACCATAACGCTTAATTCTAAACGCCAATGCTTTTTGCATCATGTCGCAAACGCTCTGCACGCACACGATCGCTAGTTTCAGCTTCTTTCCGAGCAGACTCTGCTAGTTTCCTTTCTTTTGCGGCCAGCCTGAGGGTATCGTTCTTGTGCTTTTGGTTCGCCAATACCATGGCCTGAGGGCTCGTTAACAGGAGGCCACTAGTTGTGTCTACAAAACCAGACTTGGTGACAACAGGTTGGATGCCCATAATTTCTCTCCTCCTCGCTCGACGCCCCTCCATTAGTTCTTCCAATTAGCAAACCGATAAAATTTTGTACGTGTTGATTGTAGATGCAGGTCGGGGAGTGTTCAGCAAAGCTTTGTAGTTGAGCGGCCAAATTCCAGACTTCTCAAATCCAGAGAGCACATTCTTCCTAGTGAATGCTAATCCGTACGCCTCTCTCATTACCTTCAAGTAATCAAAAACGTCATAAACGTTGGTAGAAAAGGGAGTGGCGAGCTCTTCAATGCAGTTTCGTAAATGTTCTTTAAATGGACCAAATACGCTGACGTGGAGCGGCTGGGTGCTCCCACTGGTATGCGCGGGGAGGGCATACACAATGATACCATGAGTTTCAAGCAATTTTAGAATTGGGTAGGCCATGTGGCTTCGATACCCGTCAAGAATGAGCAAAACTTTTCTACCGTTATCCGTCAGTCCCTTCATGTCTTCGGCAAAGACAGCAGCCCAGTTGTAGAAATTATGTGAGTCGACACTTGCCACTTCTTGTCTTGTTGTAATCAAGCTGTCACGGGGAAGGCAGTCGGCTACAGTCTCCATAACCCTGATACCATTTTTGATAACAAACCAAAACTTAAGTTGGGTGCCCCGGATTACGAATAAAGGTCTCCCGACATGACCGTCTGGAAAGACAACTGGCATCATTGTGATGCGCTTGACGTTAGAAAATTTAGGTGCCTGCTGTTGCGCGTAGCTTCCACGAAGGCAGTAGCTCTTAGTTAGAGGCGACTTAGTACAGTCGTTATCAGGAGTGGTTCCAGTTTCGTCGAGGTTGGCTATTCGCGGCGCGTCAATGTTGTGCTCTTGGATAATTGCCTCTAATCGAGCAAAATGTTTGGTAAGATTGTCAGCATTCGTCGCACGCCACCCTGCCTGTTCCTGTAGGGAGGCCCTTCCGAACTTGATTCGGCTTGCATGTCGTTGGGCAAAAGCTTTTAAATATTTTTGCCCAGGTTTACCATCTTTGAATGGTAAACGTCTCTGTCGTTCTAAAGGCATAGAAGTCACGAGATCCTGGATGGCGAGGGCAACATCATTACGTCGAAGATTAAATCCACGGTGAGCATAGCGAGCAATGAGTTCGACTACAGTGTTTTCCTCCGCTGCCGACAAAAATTTGAGCCTTGCTTGAGGTTGGGATTTTTTTTGCAGTCGGTATTGGAATGTTGAGAGAGGCAATCTTGCAATTATGGTGGCCTCACGGCGAGTGGCCTGTCTGTTCTCTACAGCCTCAACAGATTTGAGAAATAGACGCTCAGGTTTGGAAGTCTTGCGAGACTTCATGCCTCGACACTACAGTGCACTGAGGAGACAGATCGGTGCGGTTTGAAGTTGAGTTGGGCTGTTCCCAGCATTGGAACACACCTGTTGAAGGATGTATTCCATGAAAACGGAGGGCGGCAGACTTGATTCTGAGATTTGTATTTATATTTAGCCGACAGTTTCATCGCTGAATTGAATGTTGTTGCAACCGAGAGCTATCCGCACTTGAAATGGTACTCTAGTCGATAAAAATTACAAATTTCTGCTTTGTTCAACTTTTCGGAACGTGTTCAACTTTTGGGGTATGAACTTGTATCTGTCCCAGCCAGCACTTACAAGACCTTACAGATACAGTGCAGTTCGTTCTACAGTGCATCCGCGATAGATGCATGCTCGCTTACTACATATATGCGAGTCCTGAATGTGGAACCTGATTCCATCCACGGAAGAATGCACATTTTAACTAAAATTAAAGTTCTATGCAAACTCGCCACTTGCATTGCCAAAACCACCCCCGTTGTAACTCCCGCTGTAATTCCGTACCTACACAGCCCTCCCTTATTGGCCATTTTCGTGTAAGGAACAGCCCCTCTGGCATGTAAAACACAGAACACACCCGTCGTCCGTTCTTAGAACCGCCCACAAGAGACACGAGACTCCCGCATAACACAATCCTCTTCAACCCCTGTGCAACCCTCTTCCCTTTATTCCATCTTTAACAATGAAAGGATGCAAGCACGTGTCGCTCACATTTAACCAAAAACTCAGCATCTGTGACGAAGTTTCGCGCCGCCGCCTTGCAAACGTTCCATTTACGCAAATTGAAATTGCTGAATGGGCGAAAGAGACATTTCAGTTAAGTGGTGCACCAAACCAGGGCACAATATCGCGACTTTTAAAGGACTCTTTGAAGTACAAACAGATGTCGTCGCGTGTCAAAAAGCGGTCGTCGACGGGTAAGGCGAGAAAAGTTGAGGAGGGTTTACACAGATGGGTGATGGCACAGTGGCATGCTAAGCGGGCAACAAATGGGCAAATGATCCGCCTAGTAGTAGCACGAATGCTACAAAAAGCGAACGAGAACGTGCCTGCAGAGAACAGGATCTCCTTAAAGTTCTCCTCCGGGTGGCTCACTAGGTTTCAAGCTCGCTGGGGATTTCGCTGTTTTAAGTCGCACGGGGAGAGCGGAGATGTTGATTTGTCAGCGATGGAGGCTGCGTTGCCACAGATAAAAGAACTGCTCGCCCGTTTCGAGCTGACAGACATTTTTAACGCAGATGAATCAGGATTATTTTATCGAATGGCGCCAGAGAAAACGATTGCTCGTGAACAACTCAAGGTTCGCAAAAAGGAGAAAACACGCTTGACCTTCATGCCATGCGCAAACGCGGATGGTTCCGAACGCATGGAGCTAAAAATCATTGGTCACGCACGTCAACCTCGGTGCTTCAGGAAACAGACAGGAAGGGCATTGGGATTCAACTATTCGGCAAACAAAAAGGCTTGGATGACGTCTGTGCTATTTTTTGAATGGCTTTTGGAGTTCGACCACTTCATTGCATGGACACCGGGTGGCCGAGCCGCGCTTCGGGTTGATAACTGTAGCGCTCATGGGAAACCTGACTCGCTTCCACAGCTACAAAATACAGATGTAGTCTTTCTTCCTCCAAACTGCACTGCAAGATTGCAGCCAATGGATGCCGGAATTATTGCTGCGATAAAGATGCGCTACCGCACGAAGCAGTACGAGAGAGAGGTTGACATGTTGGATGAAGGGATCGATAACATTTATCACATCGATCAGCTCACTGCTATGCGCTGGTTAAAAACCGTTTGGGACGAGCTTCCTTCTGATATCATCGCCAATTGATGGCGCCACACGGGACTGATTGACAGGGAGGCGCCACAGAAAACCCTATGTCTATTGGGTTTGTTGTGTCGCGCGAGGAACAAGAACTACAGGACGTGGCGGCAAGGCTAACGGCACCTGATACGCGTTTGGCAATCAGTAGCATTATGAAGGCCGAGGATATAACCAACAGTACTGAAGAGTTTTCGGAGGATGTGCTACTTCAAGGTTGTGTGGAGGATGCTTTGGATGATGACCGGGATGACGAAGACGATGAGGAAGACACTGTGCCAATGCCGTCTATTGCGGAGCAGCTTAAAGCAGTATCGATAGTCAAACGTGCGATTGATGATAATGCGAGTCTTCCAGGAATCCCCGCGGGATTAAGAACAATCAATCGTCTGCAGCGAGAGTTAAGAGTCAAGGCGTCTAGCCGCGTGAAGCAAACCACTTTGGATCGCTTCATATGATGGATTCTGTTGAGTTTAGATACCCTTTTGCAGCAATAAAAATGGGCCAATGAGAGGTCTTCTGTAGATGGTATGATAGGAACATACAAGTGCATAACCCCGCAAACTGCATACCAGACGCGTCCACCAATCCTATGCAATTATCGCGGACGCACTGTATTGTACTGTAGTCATGGACATCCAATTGGTTAGTGTTGTTATTTCATGATTTGATTGCGTACCGGTGGGGATGCTCTTAGAGCATGCTCTTACGGATGCTGCTGCCTTTCCCAAGGACTTTCGCATGGTGACGTGTCGTCAACACTACGCGATGTCAACAATAACAAACGTCAAAAATTCTCATATATTTCTAGCCTGGGCGGAAACGACACATGCAATCGCCAGGTTTTGGTGAGAGCCAGCTCACAACTCATTATTCAGTGTCTAACAACTAGTTATCCTCTCCAAAAACAATCCCGCTCCAAAGGCCATACTACTCGCGCGACTTCACCATTCCCCATCTTTAGTCAGACTAGAGCCGCCCGCCGATGCAGGACAATTTGAGGCACACAACTTGTGCTTGCTGACAGCTTGTGGAAGTTGTTGACATGGGATATGTGGCAGGCGTTTCCGAAGTCCAGGCCCCCATCCTGCCCGACTCCACGCATAATTCGCCTTTCTCTCGCGAGGGCGGCAATGCACTGCCAAGCCCAAATCCCTCCACCTCGTTTTCTGAGTGGTCAGCCCTCAGTGAGAGCCTCATTGCCATGCAGAATCAACATGCACCTCTCACACGCGACTGCATTCACTTTTTGCCGGAGCTTGAGCCAGGCACACTCTTGGTTGCCAATCCGAACACAAAATCTTGCGAACTCCGACACTTGCAGAATGCCGTTGTCTTGGTGATAGGCTACGACGAGGGCCATGGAACGATTGGCATCAACTTGACTTGCTTGTGTCACTCGGAGCTTCCCGTACCTCCTCTCGAGCTGGTGAGTGTGCCATTGCGAATTGGCGGCGACTCACTATCAGAGGAAGTTGTTGGCCTGTATAAAACGCCTGAAGGCGTTCCAGACTTTCCCGGGACGTTAGTCAAGGGGCTATCATTTATTTTTGGTTTCAGTACGATTCTACACGGCGTCAATCATGGGAATGTTGATAAGACCCATCTTCGGATGTATCACTTCCGTCAGCATTGGGGACGTGGAGAACTGGAGGCACAAGTTAAGCAAGAGGCTTGGAGCATAGTCGCGGTACCGAGCAACTACATTTTTGATCTCAAACCAGACGAAATATACACGTTTTTGGTGAATGCACTAGACTTAGGATGACCCTCCGATTTCACCACATATCGCGCGAGTGTGCAAACATGTGTACCGCGATTGCTGCTTGATGTGTGAGACCATTGAAGAGTGGGAAGATGTTCAGGTTTTCCATGTGGGCGCAATCATCATGGATCGGACGAACGAAAGTCTCCACCAAGACTGAAACGCCATAGCATACATCTGGCTCGGGCGGTTACACTAATTAGAGACGTCCGCTTCATGAGTCCACAAGATGCATCGACTCCTGTGTTAACACCGAAATCCAAACGGAATTCACAGGCATGGCCAGTTGGCCCCGGGGGGGGTTTTTCCTTAAGGGGGGGGGGTTGGTTGGCCCCCCCCCCCCCCCCCCCCCCCCCCCTTCCTATTATCTATCTTTATCTTCCGAGTATCGCATCAGTTCATGTTGGGTGCTACCAAAATGGAAGTAATAAGTAATGTATAGTGAGCGTGCTCCTCGTCCCATGAGGAACGCTTATCATTTTGTAAATGTCTCACTGAGTTTTGGCGAGAAGAGTGAAAGAAGATGACAGAACAGGGAGCTATTCGCACGCAGGACAGCTCAAACCGTGGAGGGATTCGTGTGGCACGAACGCACATGCGTTGTTGTGAAAAGTGAGTGAAACTGAAATTAGCACCAACCCTCATCGAATTCGTGCGGAGCAGGGCGAGGGGACCTCATGAGTCAGAGGCGATACAAAACGGCAGTATGTGCGAGTGTGCTGCAATGGCGAAAGTTGAGCAAGTGAAAGACATTCGCAAGTCTGTGTCCATAGTGCTCATAGTTTGCACTTATGGTGAAGGCAATCGAGTGATGGAGAGGAGGAGGCGGTGGTGGAGAGTTACGGTACAACTACTCCGGATATGAGGAAAGGATATGCCTATCGAAATGCGCTCTAATCATGGATTAAGAGGGAGGCCGTGGGACTGCCAAACACCTCCTCGCCTAGTTTCGCAAACCCTCAAAGGCCGTGGCAATACCTCCACTATCCGTGCTTGTCGATAGCAATTACTGAACCAGGATCGATAAATAGGCGAACGTACACTCGTGGGGATGTCGAAAGTTTGTGATCGCAAGATCAGAACCATACCCACGAAAGCAAAGCGATGCAGTTGAGAAGTGTCCAAAGCCTTGTCTTGCGAAACATATAAAACCAAGAGTGAAGAAGGCTATGCTTCAAGAAGCATGCAGGACTCCTTCGAAATTTAATGCAGCAACCAACGCGGTGCAAAGAGTAACAACGCGGGCCTGATCCGGCCAACCCCAACATCGCGTTGATCTCAACGCAACATGAGAGGCCACACAACGACAAGAGATATCCAACAGACAAAAGCTGCCTTCTCACGGCAGCAAGGACGACGACGGCGACCGCACAACGGCAAAGTGCGTAACTCACTCATTATGCACATGAGTTCCTAGTCATACGAATCGCGCTCGCCATGGTCACCACGGTCGGCACCGTTGCGGTTGCCATTCCCATTGCCATTCGGACCCCTGTTCTGATACCTCTTATTAAAGCGCCTGCGGTTCTGGCGACCCCGACCACCTCCTTGGCGGTCGCGGTCATTATCCGGAGAACCACTACGCTGTTCGCTGTAAACATTTGCACTGTTCGGTGAATCCGGCTCATCCGCGTATTCGCTGTTCCGAGGGTTATGATTCCTCGCACGAGGTTTGCCTACCCTGTTATGGATGGGTTCATGACCAGCCGTGGAGGCGATGGAATCAGTTGCGAGTGTGATGTGCAAAGGATGGTTGTCTAGAGGAACCTGGTTGTAGCGGTTAATGGCCTCAAGAGCGTCTGCCATGCGCTCGAAAATAACCTCAGCCTCGCAAGCCGAATGGCCATTGGCGAAAGTCTTGAGGTGAGCTTTCTTGATAGGACCGACCGTCTCAAAAAGCTCACCAATGTCTGTCTCAGTGACACCAGGATGCAAGTTTGAAACTCGAATCTTGACTCCCTTTGGCGTGGCTCGACGAGCAGCTTGGCCTGACGCCTTCGTCGACAAGCGGTTAGCAACGCCGCCCTGGTGCTGTGATGAGCGGGGCGCTTTGTCGTTCCTAAAGGGTTTGTCATTCCTAGACTGTGGGCGCGGCGCATTACCATTCGGGCGAGCGTTGTTGGTGTTTCCATTGGTGCGGCGATTCTCCTCATCCGCACCGGACGCAGCGGCAGTAGCAGCGGCGGCCCTACGCTCGCGACGGCGCTGCTTTTTAGAAATAGAACCTTCCTTTTTGGCGACGCCAAGCTTCTGGGCAAGGACTGGACTGGCTTTCTGCACGGCTGCAGAGTCTGTGCCTTTTGTTTTCTTGGTCTGGGCTATCTCTTTGCGCTTCGCCTGTCTGGCAGCCTTACGCGCGGCGACAGACTCCTTCACGATCTCGTCAAGCGGACGGTCAATGTTCATCGCGGACATGGTGGGTGGATGGCAGATGCGAAGTGGATC